TATGAAAATTTTTAAAGACATCAATCAGGAGGATGGAAGATCTCAGTATGGAATGCAGAATGTGCTAAAACAACCAAATTATATCACAAATGTGTGACACAGCTGCAATGAAGTGTTGCGGGATGGGGGAATTGTGGTAACCTAAGTAACTTTGCAAATGAATAGATTCTGTAAGACTCAAGGCAAAATAAATTGTACATAACCATTATACCCTATTTTATAAAGTTGCTTCTCACAGGAGTAGAGGTCATTATATATTATACATTATACATCTATACTGGCAGTGAACAGTTAAGTTAATGAATGAAAGATGGTGGGAAACAGGTTTCTCACTATTAGGGCGGCTATAGAGAAGCAAGGGGAAGAGGCTGGAATGATCCCTATGGCAATGGAGTAGAGTCAGAGATATCTCAAGTATGAATTCATGTTTAGTTTAATATAGATACAGATGTTACATATAGTAGCATTTATAGATGTGTAAATACCTGGATTAGTACACACATATCTCTTTACTCTGTCAACTAAGAGGTCTTAGAAGCAACTATACTCCAGTAGCAATGAGTACCTCTGATGCCCAGATCTTAGTTTCTAGCACTATTCTCCAATAAAAGCAACAAAGGTTCTTTGGAAGAAATAACTAATTCTAGGACATAAGCAGGAAGTACACAAGATAGTCCTGGAACACCTTGTAGGGCCCAAGAATAAGGAAGTGCTCTCTCTCTCTCACACACACACACAGAGTACGTGTATGTCAGAGGGACATGAAGTCCACTAAAAGAGTCCCTAAGGGTCAAAGCTGCAACAATTTGAGCCACAAATATAAATAATGCGATGTTGGATTATAAACCAAAGTATAAAATAAATACCCAGGAGTCCATACTAATATAGATAAATAAGTGACTAATTAGATAAATGTGGAGGTAGAGAAAAATTCCAAATAATTTATGTAGATAATCAGCCTTCAGAGAGGTGAGGGCCTAACTCCTCATTCCTTAAATGTGAACTGCAGATCATGACTTCCTTCCAAAGACTGAAGTGTGGAAAGGAGGGGCAGCGACTAACGTTGTAGCAGCAAAAGCTCACTACTGAGGTGATTAAAGTGATTAAAAAAAAAAAAACATTGCTGCAGGTGATTAAAGGTCAGCATCAGTGGCAATAAATCACACCGAGGGAATGCTAAGTTGTGATTTGACCTCTGTGATCTTCTAAGAACATATAACCTAAATCTAATAATGAGAAACATACTGAACAAATCACACTTGAAGGACATTCTACAAAATATATGTCCAGTACTCCTTGAAATTGTCAAAATCATCAAAAATGGGAGAAGTCAGAAATAGTCACAGCCAAAAGAAGCCTAAAGAGACATGATAATTAAATGTAATGGACTATCCTGGATGGGTGTCCTAGAACAAAAAAGGACTATTAGGCATAAAACTAAGGAAATCTGAATAAAATATGGACTGTAGTTGATAATTTGTTGATATTGATTCATTAATGGTAATAAATGTGCCATACTAATGTTAGGCATTAATAACAGGGGAAACTGGATGTGGGGTATATGGGATCTCTCTCTACTGTCTTTGGAAGTTTTCTGTAAATGTAAAACTGGTCTAAAATAAAATGATTATTAAAAAGAAGACATTCTTCTCACTGAAAGTAATTCATATTCTCATGGAAGGACAGGAGCATCAACAGTGACAATGCAATGTGGTAGATGCCACAAAGGGTATTATAAAATTCTCCATGCTACAAAGGCACCAAGCACCACATGCCTCCAAACAAAGGGAACATTTTAGCTATTCCTTGAAGGAAGAGTAAGAATCAGCCTTGTGACAATGCATAAGGAAAAGCATTCCAGAAGGAGCACCCCAGGAGTAAGGGCCCAGAGGGAGGATATTTGGAAAATGGTAAAAACTTCAGTGTTTAGAGAAGAGGGTGGTGGCTACAGATGATGCTGAAACATCTTAAATTTTTAAAAAAAGTAATGTTGAAAGTATACCAACAGTGATGAGAAGGTTTATTATTTTTTCACTGTGATCGCTTTCCTTTTATTTAATTTAAAAAAAACATTTATTTGAGAAAGAGAGGGAGTGAGACAGAGAGAGAGAGAGAGAGAGCAGATAGAGAAAAAGAGCAGGGGGAGAGGCAGAGGGAGAGGGACAAGCAGACTCCCCACTCAGCAGGGATTCTAAGACTCTAGGAGCCAAAGTCTGACACTTAACCAACTGAGCCACCCAGTCACCCTAAGTAGTGTTTTCCTAAACCACTACTTCACTTAAGTAGACACACAAACTTTTAGTAAGTGAAGGATCTCCCATAAAAGCTCACAATACTGCCTGCACATTTAGCCAATTTATCTAAAAATTTCCTTTTCTCTTCATATATGGAATTATTTATTTTAAAGAAACACATTCTAACACATCTTAAAACATTTATCATCAGCTAATGCACATCCACTAAAATGAAATGATACCATACCTTGCATAATATTTACATTAAATACAATATGATCATGGTATGCAGAAAATTAAGATAAAAAACACTGGTTAATTATCATCCAGAGAAATTCCCACCTTTGCAGCTTTAGTAAGATACAATTTGGATTCTAAGAATTGTTGTTTAAATTGGCTATGGGCCACATTTATAGTCACACTAGATCAAGGTTATGAAAAAATAGATCTTTCTAATAGGCTTGTTAATACTTAAAATGTATTCTAATACATATCATTTTTAATTATTGGTCATGGAGTTCTCCCATTCACCCAAAATTTCATATATGTATGAAACTTGGCTTCATAACTTAGATGCCCAAACTAATGTCACCAGTAAGGCTGCTTGAATTAGGGGTATTCAGGATAATCATTTGAATGAAAATTTTCATTAAAACTTTCACCTACTTCCTCTTAATAGTACAGAATAGTTTTCCCCTCTTTTCAAGTAAAGAAAAAGAGATATTTTGAAGAAATTAAGTCATTTAGAAGAAAACAATTCTATTATTGGTTATACAAAATAGCCTTATTTAAGTTATTTCATCATTGGGGACCCAGTTTCTAGTCTCTGTTAGATTTTTTTCATCACCTCTTAATAGATAGTGGTTTATATTTTTAAAGATTTTATTTATTTGACAGAGTGAAAGAGACAGCAAGAGAGACACACAAGAGTGGGAGAGGGAGAAGCAGGTTTCCCGCTGAGCAGGGAGCCCGGTACGGAACTCTGGACTCAATCCCAGAACCCTGAGATCATGACCTGAGATGAAGGCAGAAGCTTAATGGCTAAGCCACCCAGGTGCTCCTAGATAGCAGTTTAGTATCCTAATGTTTCTAGAAAAGGAAGAGGTGTGCTTATCAAGGATTAGCTTTACATCCCAAAGAATAAAGACTAGAAATATATTCTATATTCTTTATGCAATAGATTTTTTAGTGTATTTTTAAATTCCTTCATCTCTATACCTACTCTTGGAAAAATGTACTTCAGTATAGATTGAAAGCAAAAAATTAATAATAAAAACCTAAATATTTATTGTAAAGAGAACTCAAGTATAAACAGCTATATTTTTCACTGTTCCATGAAAAAGACAGGGAGGTAGAGTGATAAAGTTTTAAATGTAATTTTCTATACAGAAACCTATTAAACACAGCAAAACTGAAAACCAAACTACTTATAAATCACACAAATGCATACTATATGTACACAATGTAAGGCTGAATGCATGTTTACTATTTAAATATATCATATATTGCAAAGTGGCAATTATTTACTGGGTCTAATATTTATCAAAGTCATTACCAAAGAGTACCAAATTTTAACCAAATTTTCTTTAGATCAGAATAATTACGATTCATCAAATAGATTTCTTGAAATTGTAGTTTTTAAATCTAAATATATCATAATTTCAAAGTTTGAAAGAAAGACAATTATTATAAGATGAAGGTGACTACCACAAAACACTTTTCATATACAGGAAAATTATATAAAGTGAATCAATGAACAAATGAAAATCTCTTTGAAGTATATGGTATCCTTTGTCAACTTATTTGTATATATTTCCTAAATATTATTGTGCAAAAAGTCACTTAGAAGAATCTCAGTAAGATGAGAAAAATGTCTCTAACTCCCTAATATTGCTCTTATTTATCCCCACCTTTTTTCTTCTTGGAACCACTTTTAGAGATTCAAACCATAAAGCAAAAAAAGGGTACGAAAATAATATGTTACAAGACATAAAATGACCATAATGTACATTTGGATATAATTGGGTATTATACAAACTGATTTCATTCAGCTTATGTTACCTTATTAGATCCTTGCAAAACTCCTATGAACTATACAAGACAAATTTTACCATCACCATTTTATACATGAAGAAACTGATATTGTGAAGGTTGTGCTAAGTCCAGTAAGGCCACGTGACTAGTGAGCTGTAAATTCATGATTATAGACAGAGTTCTGAATCTTCTTATGCCCTTCTACCTTAGCAACCAGAGACAGGAATGACATCATTCACTGCATCTCACGCAATTATTCAATTATTTCCCCTGCAATTATGTTATTTTCAAGTTCATGAGAACTCATATGTCAGATTTATAGAAAGGAAAATCAATAAAATAGTAATTTTTCTTATTTGAAGCAAAACAGGAAGACAGAGGTAGCTGTCATACATTCTATTTCAACACCTTAGAAAATGTTCCCCAAATTGACAACATTACAAAATATAAGCATAATTTTCTAAAAATGTGAACTCATTATTTCAAATACTTTAAAAGCTAACATTTCTATAATTCCCTAAGCATATTTTCTTTAACCTTTGAAATGTATTTCAGCACAAGATGATTTAAAAGCAAGGAGGAATAAATTTAACCTTATAGGAATCCACTCAGCTATTTGGTTAAGTACTTTTTTCATTGCATAGATTTGAAAAAATCAATGTATAGCACAAAAAGTAAACTTAAAATGGTAGTTTCGTTACTTGCAAATGAAATACTGAAGACTATGATTACCTGTAACAGTTAATTCAGTAGTTCGTCTCACAACAAAGCCTCCATATTTTAATTCACAGGTGTAATTTCCGATGTCATCTTCTCTGACTTCTCTTATAAGCAACGTATCTCTTTTGAATACAATACTTGGCCTCCATGTTTTTGTCCTACATTCCTGCATGAAAAACACAGAATTTCTGTAGTAAGTACAATAACTGGGAAACAGAGAAGAGTATTTTAAATAAATAACCCCAAAGCTTCTAAATTTATATTTTAAAGGGCTAAAGAGTTTGAGATTAATTCTAAAAATTTTCATACTTCTCCACATCTCATGGAGATCATGTACCTCAGTTTGAAAAGAGGTTTTCTAGTAAGAGTCATTTTTTTTTTAAGATAGAGAGCGCAGGTGCTTGTGTTGGGGAGGAGCAAAGGAAGAAGGGGAGAGGGGAGAGAGAATCCTAAGGAGGGTTTTCATGAGGCTCCATACTGGGCTTAATCTCAGGACCATTAGATCATGACCTGAGCCAAATGCTTAACCAACTGACCCACTCAGGTGTCCCTAGCAAGTGTCAATTTATTGACTTCTAAGATTAGTTTGTCTAAATCAGATATACATTGATTTCTTACACTGTTGGTGGGAATGCAAGTTGGTGCAGCCAACTTCTTAAGGAATCTTAATGTAGCCAATTTCTTAAGGAATCTTAAGGAGATTCCTTAGTGAAAAGAAGGGCCGTCTGTACCCCAATGTTCAAAGCAACAATGGCCACAGTCGCCAAACTGTGGAAAGAGCCAAGATGTCCTTCAATGAACGAATGGATAAAGAAGATATGGTCCATATATGCAATGGAGTATTATGCCTCTATCAGAAAGGATGAATACCCAACTTTTGTATCAACATGGATGGGACTGGAAAAGATTATGCTGAATAAAATAAGTCAAGCAGAGAGAGTCAATTATCATATGGTTTCACTTATTTGTGGAGCTTAAGGAATAACACAGAAGACATTGGGAGATAGAGAGGAGAAGTGAGTGGTGGGAAATTGGAGGGGGAGACAAACCATGAGAGACCGTGGACTCTGAGAAACCAACTGAGGGTTTTGGAGGGGAGAGGGATTGGGGGTTTGGTGAGCCTGGTAGTAAGTATTATGGAGGGCATGTATTACATGGAGCATTGGGTGTGGTGCATAAACAATGAATTTTGGAACAGTGAAAAAATAAAATTAAATAAAATTTTTGAAAAAGAAGATATAAGAAAAAGGACTCTTGTTAAGATTACTCCTAACATCATTTTTAGAAGCAAATACTCCAAATTTGTTGACTGTGAAATTAACCATCTTGACACTTGATAGTGAAAGCATAAAATATAAGATATATTATTTAGGTATAAAGTAGAAAAATTAATTCTGTAGCAGAAAATGCTTCTATTTCAGTATTTAAATCTTTTAATATTACATTTAGAAAAAAATTCTCTCCCTTTATAGCATGCACATTCTACAATTTGTGAAAGAAATGGCCAACATGTCTTTATGGTCTTTACAGTACCATAAACATCTATTTTCATTGTTGATGGGTCTAACAAATTATGGTCTCTAAATTAAGCTTTAGATTTTAATGACATTGGCTCAGAAGCTTTCTCTTTTTGCCAGAACAGAAGTCTATTTCCTTTAGCCAGATTTGAAATCAATGCCATGAGGATAAAATAGCTTTAAGCCCTCTGACACTGTTCAGAGGTATTATTTCTAAAAAAATATTTTGCCAAATCAAATTTTTCCAGACTATTATTTTGATTATGTGGTTCAATGTCTTCATATACATGGAAGAGAGTTATCTGGTTATTTCAGACCAAAAAATACATCTTATATATCCTCATATTAGTTGCATAAACTGTCATAATTGCAAAAGCTTTTTTATATATATATACACACACATATATGTGTGTGAGAATGTATATATATATATGTATATGTATGTATACATATATGTATACATATATACTTATATATATGCATATATACTTATATATATACATATATACATATATACTTATATATGTATACATATATGTATACATACATATACATATATACACACACACACATTCTCATACAAATATATATAATGAATACAGAATATATATCGTCTTAACTATGGAAAAAATTTTGGATTGTTGCAAGACTTTCAAGTTCCATACATACTGCATTTCGACCCATCACTCCACTAGTGACAATCTTTATAGCTTAAGTTCACAATGACTGGGTTGATGGTGGAAACATGACTAAAGGAGCACTGTGAGGCCAGCCATTTTAAATATTGAGAGTGTGTGTGTGTGTATGTGTGTGTGTGTGTGCATGTGTAGAAGAAGACAAATGTACATACATGACTACTAGAAAAACATCTGTTCTTAGATACTTTGAGTTAAACTCTCCTAATACCTCTTGTCTTTGAGGCAATCATCAGGCTTTGCTAAGAATCTACTTGTGGAAAGCAGCCAGACCACTGAGAATTGGGGTGAGACATACAAAATTCAATAAAGGAGGAAAAGTAAATCTCATCTGTGCAGAAACAGAGATTAGTAGGGCTAACACTTGAGGGCTGTTTGACAGTGTCTAGGATAGAAATTCAATGGAAAAGTAGAAAACTATTTCAGTAGTCCCCTTGACATTTTGAATCCTCCATTGCTTGTTATCAAGAATCAAAATTTGTGGAGCATAACAAATAGCATGGAGGACAAGGGGAGTTAGAGAGGAGAAGGGAGTTGAGGGAAATTGGAAGGGGAGGTGAACCATGAGAGACTATGGATTCTGAAAAACAATCTGAGGGTTTTGAGGAGGCAGGGGGTGGGAGGTTGGGGGAACCAGGTGGTGGGTATTGGAGAGGGCACGGATTGCATGGAGCACTGGGTGTGGTGCAAAAACAATGAATACTGTTATGCTGAAAATAAATTTAAAAATTAAAAAAAAAGGAGGGCATTTGATGAAATGGGTACTGGGTGTTATACGCAACTGATGAATCACTAAATTCTATCTCTGAAAGTAATAATATACTATATGTTAATTAAATTGAATTTAAATAAAAAAAATAAAATTCTTAAGAAATAAAAAAAAATCAAAATTAAGTCTTACTTAGAGAAGGGCATTGCTAATTATAGCAAATCCTTTAAAAATTGTTAAAAATTTGGGGCACCTGGGTGGCTCAGTGGGTTAAAGCCTCTGCCTTCGGCCCAGGCCATGATCCCAGGGTCCTGGGATCGAGCCCCTAATTGGGCTCTCTGCTCAGCAGGGAGCCTGCTTCCTCCTCTCTCTCTCTCTCTGCCTGTCTCTCCACCTACTTGTGATCTCTATCTGTCAAATAAATACATAAAATCTTTTTAAAAATTGTTAAAGATTTGTTTCTTTTTAAATTTCTCATAAGTTTTGAACTCATGACATAGTGGTATCGGTAGATCTAGTTACTAAGAGGTCATGCTTCCTACATCCCTATTTCCGGGGAGTTGAACAAAGCAAATTTTCTACTAGTACTCTTTAAATCATGGATATAATATTCCAGAAAAATATTCATAGCAGCTATATTGTAGTTCTTGATTACACTCAATGACAAAAATTTCTTTGATGGTATAAATAAGCTGAAGGGTATGTTCTCATCTTAAAATTCAGAAAAAGTCAATTATATGATAGGAAGGACAAGTGTTAGATTATTCTCCTTAAGTCTGAAGACTCTTGTTTTTTGAGAAAAAGTTATCTAGCACTATTTTTATAATGTTATGAATTTCCCTCAGGTTTTTAAAAATATATACGCTTTTATATGAAAAGGATTGGAATATACACAAAGATACTTCCATTAAACAGAACATTTTAATATGCCATTGTACTATTTTTTCATAAAAGTAAATCAATCCTTTCTTTGTTTGAAAACATTAGGAGTGTTTATATGAAGAGCTCTGAAAGGAATGCTTAATGTATTCTAGTTCCTGAATTATCAACCACAGATTATAATGGACTTGAAAGAACAGTATAAACTAGCTATGAACATAAACACAACAGCTTATTGCAGTGGATCACCAGTACAAATACCAACTAGCATTTATCAAAGATATTGCTTTGAAATCTTATAATGACCAGCACAACCTGCTAGAGTATTTCAGGAAGATAGAGTTTAACTTCATCATACCCATAAAACTTTTTATCCAACTAGTCCAAGAATAAGATACACATTAATCTATTTATAAGGAAGAAAATCATGCACAATACACACCTTATACCATAGGATTTCAGGTTCTCTGGTTGGTAGTAAAAAATCTTCGATGTCACGGCATGAAATTTCCTTGCTTTTGCTAAGTTCAGCTTTGTCAAAGTATTTCATTTTGGAATTGTAGCAGAGTCCGGTGTCATTTTCACCCACTGTCAGTGAGATGGATACTTTCATGCAGTAAGTGGAGTTTCTGTAATGAAGCAGAATGAAGAGGTGGTCTGGTGTGAACAAAAAGTAAGTGCCACCAAGCAGTACGTGTACTTCACTAAAACAGACAGACACAGAGATACAGAGAGAGACAGAGAGAGAAAGGAGGAGAGGGAGAGAGAAAAGAAAAAAAAAACCCATTGATTAATTAATGGTAAGGTGTCATGTCTTAGTCCACAGGGCTCTCTTTTGTCAGAAAGCTAAACAATGCTTAGTTCTGCAAAGCCATTTGTGTATTATTCAATTCTTAGAAAATAGTTTCATACTATATACAAGTGTGGTTTGAAAAAATGTTCAATAGGGATTTCTGTATCTAGAAAAGCAGAAAAAATAAAGGAAGATTTAGGTCAGGAAGTAAGTCAACCTTGGGTTTATGCTAAACTTGGCAAACTCAACAGAGAAGTAGGAAAATGTAATGGATCAATTAAGCATAATGCAAGGAGAAGAATGAGCCTGCTCAATTCTTACAGTAATGGCTGTCTTGATAATTGGAGAGCTTATCAATGAATATGGGAAGAAAACAGTCCTGGATAAGAAAATACTGCAAGTTTTCTTATAAACTGTACTATTTCTGTTTGCTATTTATGTCTCTGGACATTCAGTGAATACTGCTATGGGTCAGGCATGGTGATGTAGGCAGTGAGAATAAAGAGAAGCACAAATCATCAAATTCAAGGTTTTGTTCAGAATGTCTTACTTGGTAAGTGTCCAATGCCTCATTCATATACTTGGCCATCAAAGTCCTGGAATTGAATTTTTTTAAAGATTTTATTTATTTATTTATTTATTTATTTATTTGACAGAGAGAGAGAGAGAGAGATCACAAGTAGGCAGAGAGGCAGGCAGAGAGAGAGGGGGAAGCAGGCTCCCCATGGAACAGAGAGCCCGATGTGGGGCTCGATCCCAGAACCCTGGGATCGTGACCTGAGCCAAAGGCAGAGGTTTTAACCCACTGAGCCATCCAGGCACCCTTGGAATTGAATTTTACTGCTTACTATTTCTGTAACTTCGGGCAACTCATTTAATCCCTGGACCTTAGATGGACAGTGGGACAACATGTGTCTGAGTATTAAATGTGATAGTGAATCAAAATCTGTTTGGCCTGTCACCAGTGCTCAGTAATGGTGGCTCTTCTCACTCCATACTGGTGTATCGAGATCACAGCCCCCAAGCCCTCCTCCTTATTCAGCCAAGACGTTTGACTTAAGCAGCTCCTTGATTTAAATCCTTGCTTTTTTTTTTTTAAATGACTACACGACATGATGAGAATCACCAGAAAATAGTTAGGTTGGTTATGGTATAATTAAAAATGTAGTTGGTCTTGGATCCTGGCACAGATTTCCTGAAAATCTTAGAAATCACTGAGTGATAGGAGTGTCTTTTGCTATTCAAAGGGAGCTCCATTTAATCACCCTTGAGTTTATGTTAACCCTTGGGATGACCTCCCTAGAAAGCCTTGGGTTGGGGCTTGTTACCAGAAAGACCAAGTGTGCAGAAGGTTGAAAGTTTTAACTGTATCCACTGACCTTCAGACAAGGGAGCAGTAATTTCAGGTTAAGTTCTGTAAAAACCATGGAACCAAAAAGATTTGATAAGTTAGGATTAATGAACACATGGAGGTGCTCGGAGGATGGCACGCCTGGAGATGGCACAGAAGTTCTGTGCCTCTTCCTCTACCCTTTGCCACACACATCTCTTTCATCTGACCCAGTTATTTCTGTCCTTTTGAAATATCCAACAGTAGTAAGTAAACTGTTTTCCTGAGTTGTGTGACCTGTTCTAGCAAATGATTGAATCCAAGGAGTGGATTGTGAGAACCTCTGATTTATAGTCAGTCTGTCACAAGCACAGGTGACAATCTGGACTTGCAATTGGTGTCTGAATATGAGGCAGGGGGCAGTCTTGTGGGATTGAGTCCTTTACCTGTGGGGTGTGATATTATCTCCAAGTAAATAGTATCAGAGTAGATGTGAACTGTAGCGTATCTGGCTGGTGTTGCAAAATTGCTAGGTGTGGGGGAAAAAAAAACCACATACCTGGTGTCAGAAGTACTGAGAATAGGGGAGAAAAGTAGAGTTTTCCTTTATAGTTACTTATTCAGCTTTATATTGGATAGCAAAGAAAATTGCCACAAAATTATTATGTAGACTTATTAAATGTGGATGTCTCTGCCTTCATATGATAGGCTACAAGCAGATCTAAAATACTTTATAGGTTGGGGGTGTTCAGGTGTCATAGTTGGTTAAGCATTTGACGCTTGATTTCAGCTCTGGTCATGATCTCAGGGTTGTGAAATTGAGCCCATCATTGGGCTCCACACTGGGTGTGGAACTTGCTTAAGAGTCTCTCTTTCTTGTCCTCTGTCCCTCCCCATCCTCTCTCTCTCTCTCTTCCCCTTTAAAAATAAAATATAATAAAATAAAAAAATTAAAATATTTCAGAGGTGAAACCCTTCACCTTTAAACAAAGTCAATCAGTAAAAAGGTCCTGGAAGAATGTGTTCAGAGATTTTGTTTGAATGATAAAATATACTCCCTGCACTCAGCTCCTCACAATCCAGAAGTGATGCACAATAGCTGAATTTCAATGTGATAAGCACTACAAAGAGCTACTGTGTGCTACCACATCAGCATCAAAGAAAGAAACAAGACCTCAAAATTTGTGATTCCTGCTTATCCTAAGGAACTAGTAAGAATATGGCAATTTTAACAAGGGCTCTTTCGGGAACAGTATACACAAATGCTTGAAGACATTCAACAACTTGATGTGGTTGGAGGAATTGCAAATAATTTGGTGTGGCAGAATTAGGTATAAAGGAATAGCAGGAACTGAGGCTGGAGGTCTGTGCAGAAGCTTGAAGGAGCAGCATGTAAGCCACAGCAGAATGTGGACTTTATACTAGTAAGTGAAAACATTTGGATTTTGGAAAGATGTTTCTGCTCAAAGTGAGAAAAATGATTTGGAGAGAACAGAGGACTAAGCACAGTGAGACAATAAGAAATCAACATCAGTCATTCAGGAGAAAAATGGCAGCTCCAAAGGCAATGACCATTGATACAGAGAGGAGGAATCATGTTCAAATTATATTTAAGATAGTAGCAAAGGAAAGAGAGGTATCCAAGATGATGAAGAGCTTCTCACAGATGAGTGTATGAAACATAGAGCCAATCTCTCAGCATGGAAAATACAGAAAAAAGAAACAGCTTTGAGAGAAAAGAAAGTGCTAAATTTTAACTTGAGCTTCACACCCAAGTAGAAAAAATAGCCACTTTGGTTTTGCCAGAAATATTGCTCATGCATTATTTATTAATTTTACACCAGCACAGACTAGAGCGTGCTCTTCATGGGCTCATTTTAAGATAATATTTTCAGGAAAAATAATTACCTAAGTTAAAGCAATTAACAATCATAGGACACATTCCAATGTGTAGTAAGAAAATATGCACGTTTTAGAACAATCCTGATATTGGTACACATTAGAATTCTTAAAGAACAGACTTTTCTAAGAAGTCAGTCAGTCAATTCTAAATGAACACTCCACACTAATCTATTAAACTCATGAGTCTTAGGTTTTTCTTCTCCTCAATTTATTGGTGTTGTTTGTTTTGTTTTGTTTTGTTTTTTTCCTATACCTTCTTTTATCAAATGCCAGACATTTTTCATACAGATAGGGTTAAGAGCAAGATCTCCAAAACCCAGCTGTAAGAGGTTCAGATTCTAGCTGGATCACTCACTGCTTTTGAAAATCAGGGAAACTCAAATACATAAATAAAATATTTTAAAATAGGGGGGTGACTGGGTGGCTCAGTGGGTTAAGCCTCTGCCTTCGGCTCAGGTCATGATCTCAGGGTCCTGGGATCGAGTCCTGCGTCGGGCTCTCTGCTCAGCAGGGAGTCTGCTTCCTCCCCTCTCTCTCTCTCTGCCTGCCTCTCTGCCTGCTTGTGATCTCTGTCAAATACATAAATAAAATCTTAAAAAAAAAAAAGAAAATCAGGGAAACTTACTTGACTCCTTGGGCTTCCTTCTCCTCATGTGTATAAGGAGAAAATCATAACAAAGAACTCAGAGGTTGGTGTGGGAGTGAAGCATGTTAAAACCCGGAAAGAGCTTAGGGCAGGGCCAGTCCTCCAGGAGCACTCAGGAAGTGTTAGATCTTAAAATCAGTACTACATTCCCTCTCCCCCACCTTTTTTTTTTTTTTTTTTTTTTAGATTTCCATTTTCCAGTCCAGCCCCCCAGGGTTTGCTCAGAAGGCAGGTGAGCTAGACAACATGACCATGATGATGACTTCAGTTCTTTGGTGTTTAATTAGAGTCAGGCATAAGCATCCAGATAAATTCTTCTGTTTTTCATCTGGGATATCTGAGTGGGCTGGAGAAGACTTAGTAAACTTGATGAAAAATACAGACTTCCCATCTCAGCTGTCCGCTTCTCCTTTTGTATAAATGCAACTGATCCCTAATTTCCAGAAAGTGGATCCATATGAGCACACTTCGGTATTCTTATTTTCCTGACTTTTATTTCACAACTCTGTGAGGTGACTGCTGATCTACAACTATCTGGTAATGTCTGAAATTCCAGACTCCCCAGGATAGCACTATTTCCAAATTACTTTCAATGTTTTAATACTTATTTACTGTTTCTGTTCATCAGGAGGTGATTTAAAAAGCTAAAAACAAAGCAGCATCCAATGAACACTAGTCCTATTTACTGAGAAGAGCTAACCGGAAGCAAGCAACCTGTGACACATTAATAAACTTGTGATCCCCCTAAGGGGAATTACACACCCTCAAAGTAAAGAGCACCATCCACCATTATGAAATCGACAGCACTGATTTAGCTATGGCACTGTGGTTCTGCACCATCAGGGAAATACCGTGTAATGGGGTAAATAGGGTAAGGTGAATGCTCCTACAGGATGGACAGTGGAAATCATCAGTGCGTATTTACTCAGCTTCTAGGCAACAAGTTAAATAATGACTG